GGGGGGGGGGGGGGGGGGGGGGGGGGGGGGGGGGTGGAGCCTATCCCGGCTGGCAACGGTACATCCCGGGCAGGTTGCCATGCCATCACAGGGCCGCACAAACAACCACATCCACTTGTACAGGAAAAAGGATGGAGGAGGAGGGGGGGGGGGCTGGAGTACCTGGAGCTAACCCATGCATACGCCACACAGAAAGGTCCCCCCCGGGGACCTGAACCAGGAACCATCTTGCTATGAGGCGACAGGGTTAACCGAAAATACGATTCACGACTAAAAAACTAAAACTAAACTAAAAAATATGTTACATACGCATTATTTTTATATCTCTGTTGCTTAGAGACCAAAGCCTGTACATTAAAAAAAACTGCATATACCTTTATGGAAAGAGCAGAGTAGAAAAAAGGGAATCACAAGAGGTAGGGAAATACATAAAGCTTATTAATATTGTGCTGACTCCGTGTCAAAAGTTGACATGTTGACTCATCAAAAGCTTTGTGAGAACATTCTTTTTTTCTTTTTTTTTTACATTGTCGTTATAAAACTGGAATGTTTCTGTCAAAAGATTGGGTTGATAGCAAAAATACCAAGACGCCTTGGAATTTTCTAGCCTTTCTACTGTAGCTACTGTGTTCTTTGACACACCTCAGTTAATGGGGACAGATTCCAATCCATTTGGTTTTTCCTAAATGTTAACTGGCATTTTTTATAGTTGCACATAGCATACAATTCCCTACACTTAGATAAAAGGCAGATAAGCGGTTAGATTGTGGATTTGGATGAATCTGACACATAAAAAAAACAAAGAAAACATTTGTCACTTGGACAGAAAAGCGTTGTATTTGGTTTTCAGTGAGTTGGCTGAAAAAGCCAGCTGCTGGAATCGGATTTCATGAACCAAAAATAAACCCCCAAAAAAGCCATACTTGTGTCAAAAGCGAGCAGGTGGGGGGGAAAAGCGGAGTCGGTACACCGGTCAAAGGTCCAGCGAGGCCTTACAGACGGAGGGATTTATGACGCTGGACTACTCTCTGGGGTTTTGGTGCCTTGAGCTTCCAGTTCTTTTCATCAGACACCCAGAACTGCTCAGATCTACTCGCGATGGCCTCCTTCTGCTCCTCTTCCTCTGCCAACCATCACTCTGCTCTTCCCACCACTCTCTTCCAGTCTTTAATCATTCCTCTATTACTTCTCTGGTCTTCATAGTCCTGTGTAAAAATTTGACCTACTTATTTCTTTTGGGGCCATAAACCTGATTTCTTTAGAGCACTAATTAACAGTTGGAGAAGATATAGACTCCTTTCTTCTATGTTATCATATGTAAATATATACTAATAAAAGCAGAGAGAGAAAAAAAAGATTTCCTTCAGGATCTGTCACTGACAGGACAACTGTGGGGGTGTTTAATGATGCTGTCAGGGTTGTAGCAGGCTTATTCTGCACATGGTAAATTCCATAGCATGTAATTAACACCTCGTGTAAAGCATCTGGGGTTGAATTGTTAACTAAACATAATTCCAGCCATATGTCAGTCTCTGAGGTAACAGTATGCAGACAAACATCAGCATGATTTTTTCTTTTTTACTACGAAGATATTTAGAGGATGAATATATAGCTGTGCTCTGCAAAAGAAAAAACTAAATGCGATTATACTGTAGGTTTTCTCGACCGTTTCGCGGCTACACACAGACAGAAACATCTACCATTCCCAAAGCAGATGACACTAATGGACTGTTATTCAATAGAAACACAATAGCAGCCACAATGCATCATCAAAGCGATCTGTTTAAGTTGCCCATACAGCAACTATTTTATCAAAAATGAGGCCGTGTCATCATCATACAATGGTGGCAACGGTATACAGGCTCTGGAACCAGGTGTTAGTGACGGAGGGAAAACCTCATCTCACTGGAAGGTGAGCGCTGACACACACACGCCGTAATTAGCTAAATCAATGCACGCACCGCTGGCCATCTCCCTGCCCACCCGCCTTCCTGCTGTCATCGACAGGGCTGCGTTTTTAGCCCCCGAAATTACAGCAAGCTGACATCACCTCATCGCCCGGGA